TTGTACACAGCACAAAGGCTCTGCCTGTGCTTTGACTAACACAAGATGGTGACAAACAAAGCAGGAAGTACACTGTCACCAGTTTACAGGCTTGACAAACACAGATATGGGTGTGAAATGCTGCCAAATGGGGGAGCGCTGAACAGTGATGGTGTCCTACCCTCCAGGTTTTTAGGCTGCATACCAAGTGCAGGGAGCTAGAAGATACATTTTTAGAAGATCTTTGTCTTACTTTATTCTTTGCTGCGGGAAAGGGACTGGTAAGAACGAGTAGATGTGGACAGGAATGGGAGGAGGATAATAGAAGATGGGCAGAGAATAATAAGAATATATTGCATACATGTGTGGAATTTTCAAATAACAAAAGTAACTGATAAGATATGTAAAAGTAGTAAAATGCAGTTCGATTGAGATATATTTCACATACCAAAATCAGCTTTGCATCATCAGTGCTATCTTATTTCAGAATATTTCCACCACTCCAAAAAGATAACCTCTTGTCATTAGCAACCATCTCCAATGATCCCTTCCTCATATCCTTGCAAACTAATGTACTATCTCTATGTATCAATTTACTGTTTTGTAAATTTATATAAATGGACTCACATGATATGACATCTTTTGTGTAGCATGTTTTCAGGGTTACTTCTATGTAGCATGTTTTAAAGGGCCATTCACTCTGTTGCATTTATTGATGTCATTATTCTTTCTTGTAGCCTAATACTACCCCCATTGAAGGAACATGACAAGTTCCATTTCCTATCATTGGATGGGCATTGAATATTTTCTACTTTTTGGAGTATTCTCAAAAATATGGTATGTACTTTCTTGTGTAGGCATTTGGTTCTTTTGGATTTCTCTCTAGGAATGAATTGTTAAGTTACATTTAAGCTCGGGTGGTCATAGTATTTTATAACTGGATTCCAAATTCTTTACACTTTTGCCAAACATGTAACTGTCCTTTCAATTCTAACTGTGTCACTGAGTTTGAAACATCTTATGTTGAATTTAATGTGCACTTTCCTAATCACCGATGGTCTTTTTACATGTGTGTTGGTTATTCATATATTATTTGGTGAAGTGTTCATTCAAAACCTTTTCTCATTTTCAAATGAGTTGTCTTATCATTAAGCTGTTATGCATTCTGAAAGAAAACCCTACATTTACATATAATTACACATGTTTTATTTCACTGTATGAATCACTTCATTTAGTTATCATGCCAACCAAAACACAAAGGTTTTTAATTTTCATTTCCCTGTTTACCTGTTATCTATTTTTCCAACTACACTTTTGTAATCATACCTTAGAATCAATTCCATGTCATAATATCTTTGTTTGATTTACTTTAAGTTTGCATCACCTTTGATATGAAAGATATATCTCAGCTTTGAGTTTTGAGTTTGTTGAGAACAGAGTCCACATTCTTTTGCCTGTGGGCATCTATTTGACCCAGAGTAGTTACCCTACTCTCTTTCCCTTCCTAACTGAATTAGTATTCCCATAAAAAAAAAAATCAATCAACTCTACCTGCAAGGGTTTATATTTAGATTTTTGGTTCTATCACAATGATCAGTGTCTAACATCATTAACCATGTCACAGCATTCCTGTGACTTTGCAGTAAGATCTAAAATCCTGAAGCTGAATCTGTTCATTTTGCACTCCTACAGTCAAGATTTATCTGTCAACTTGGCTTTCCCCGCCCCCTATGAATATTAAGAGTACCTTACTAATTTCTATAAATGAGCCAGCTATATATTTAAAAAATAATGATGGTATTAGCCTTAAAACATAACTGCTAGGAAAGGGATATATCTCATCTTTAAATTTCTTAAATACTTATTCCGGGCAAGGCTTTCTGTACTAAGTTATGTAACAAATTGGATCTGGTGTAGATACAAATGCTTGCATAGGCAGTGCTTAAAAGATGAATCAACATTTTAGTAATTGTGCAGGGAGTGACTGAGGTAAATGCAGGAATGGAGCTTAGCATGGGCATCTGGCAGAATATCAGTATGTTTGGGAAGCTAAGTATTTGCTAGAACTGGTTGTCTTGGGGTTGATGAGACAGAATAATTGAAAAAGATGAACAATTAGATTACAAGTCATTAGCACAGACATGTTTTCTTGTTCAGAGTTTAAAGATTGCTTTATTCTGTCAACAGTTAATCATAAGTATCTGAGATGTAAATAGTCTTGGCTTGAAAAGAAATAGTACGAGGTAAGGTTGTGGTAAACATCATCAAACAGAAATCAAAATATTGTTAGGGAAAAAATAATTTTGTTACATTTATTTGCCCCCCACCAACACCATGCGTGTGTGTGTGTGTGTGTGTGTGTGTGTGTGTGTGTGTGTGTGAGAGAGAGAGAGAGAGAGAGAGAGAGAGAGAGAGAGAGATGCACATATGATGGTGATAGGACAAATTTGGAGAGTTGGTTCTCTTTCACCTGTGTGTCATGGTTCTTGAACTCAGGTAGTCAGTCAGGCTTGGCAGCAATAAACTTTACATACTGAGCAATCTCCCAGGCCCACTCAGAGAAAAGTAATTTTTATAACCTTGCATCATAAGCAGCAGACAAAAGTCTCCCTGCTTTACTTATTTTGGCAGCTTCACTAACAGCTGTGGAGAGCTAAAATGCTGCAGCATCTGTCTCTTGTGTCCTTCATTTCACAGCTATAGGCCAGAGGTTCTAATTGTCCCAGGGTTTCTGTGTTCTAGTCTGTGCCCCACTTAGCATCATTCACTCTCATGCATACTCACCTCAACTATTCATTGATGCAAAATTTTAAATGACTCCCAGTTTGATTCGGTTCTTCCTTAGGCATTGGTGAAAGAATAATATGTTGATTCCTACTGAGAGTCTCATTAATGTAGGACTTGAACAGGAAATCAAAACATGGTAATTATAACTCAGTGCAACAATATTTTTACTTGGACTTTCTCTGTGAATCTGTATAAGTGGAGAGAAGGGAACCTAGCTTGAGGGACTAATGTTTGACGGGACACTTGGCAGGAAACAACTTAGAAGGGTATGGGTAGGAGCTGTGCTCCTAAAAGAATGCAGTAGACATTAGCACACATGTGAGCAAATGCTGGCATTTTTAGAAAACCACAAATATCTGCTACAGCTGTGTCTGGCTTGATGGTGTAAAATGAACAGAAAGTGGTAAACAGCAAGATTAGGAGAGATTTGGTGTGCCATGTGAAGACTAAAAGAGAATCTTGTGGAATTCGATTGGGGAAATTCTACCCATCACATATCATCAGCTTTGCTGAAGGGCTATGCTCTTAGTGGTGTGGAGGATGGATCAGAGAGGAGTAGGTCAAAGGCACTACACTGGGGCAATCGAGACTGTTAGACTTGAATGGGGTGAGCCATAAGGCAGGGCCAGAGATGAGACAGCTACAGAATGGTGATGTAGACACACATGTAAGAGAGGAAAAGGCAGTCAATGAGATCTGTTGAAATCACAGGAAGCAGGAAAACAAAACAAAGGCTGGGGCTCTCAGGAATAGCATAGTGCATTATATTAAAAAAAGCAGGGGGGAGGGGACTTCTGAGAGTTCACTCAACCTCTACATCAAATATGAGAAGAAAGTGAACCACTGAGGAAACCTATCCAGACAGTATGATTTTTCTGAGGACAAGACTCACTATTTTGTACTTTGCACATTTCCAAGGCACATATAAGGAATATTTGATGAGAAGAGGAAAGTAACAGTGAGATGAAGAAATAAAATATGTGGGTAGAAATGCTGCTTCAAGCAAGTAAGTGTTGTTCTTTTAAAAAATAAAAATAAAATAAACATCACTATGCAAAATATGCTTTTGCTCAGAGACAGAAGTCTGAGCCATGGACATGGCATCCTGAAAATATTTGTGGTCAATGAATTTAACACCTCATGGTCTTATGAGAAGCTGCAGTCTCTTACGCTATGAATGCCATTAGCTTCTGTTGGCTTTGGTAAACACAGTGTTAGGAGTATAATTGATCATAAGCAGTTAAGCTTCACACTGACCCTTCATTCACTGGTGGTGGGGTATATACTACTACCCATATGATGATTTTAAAACATACAAGGAAATGATAGATATACCAAGGTAAGCACATAAAGTGGGTATTTCATTGCAATCCATCATAGTTCTTGCTTTGCCAGTAAGGCTTGTAAAGCGCCAGCTACTTTTCACTTTCTATGAAGCTTAGTGAGGCTGTTTCTGGGCCTTTATAAGGGGGAAAAAAAGGACAAAAGATTAAACAAATGAGATAAAGAACATGTTTGTTTTGTGAACTTATTTCTTATGTGGTATGAGGCAAGACAGGGCAGTCAGCAGAAGGAGAATAGTCAATGGGTGCTATTTGGATGCTCAGTCTGGAGATATTGGATCTGGACACATGGTATTTCCATCAAGCCTAGGGCCAAGTGCTAAAGAAACCAGACCCCAAGAGATCTGTGCCTGGAATGGAAGGCTCCACTTTGAAGTAGCCTGGGTAATTCATAGACCAGTTACTACTCCAGTCAGTTACTGCCATGGAAATTGAAGACAGGAATAGCAGCTTATGAAACCTTCCCCTAGCTACATTTCATCATATAACATATCACTAAACATTTCAGAAAGCACATGTAACTGTCAGATGCTTTGCAATTTAAATAATCTGGAATTACTATTAATCTGCAATTTAAATAATCTGGAATTACCACTGGAAAAAAGGAACATTATTTCATCTTTGCAAAAAGGCATTAGGAAGAAGAGGAAGGCATGGAGACTCAGCTGAAATGCTTCCTCTTGCATGTATTCTTACCTGAAAAATATTTTTTTTGTACAACAAAAATGATGGTAACATAGTCCTTTGCAATCTTTATTTTCTTAAAATCCAAGAGACTAACATGTTAACACGCATGCACATGGCAATCTACACGTGTGCATGTGCATGTGAGCAAACACACACACACACACACACACACACACACACACACACACAAACAAATGCTTCCACTTGTCCCCAAAATAGCCATATTCTTTTATTTGATGATTCAATACATTTTAATTCAAATAGTCACCACATAACCTAGGCACAGTATTAAGCATTTTACAAGCGATGTATTATGCTGATTTTCTTTTCAGTTGCCAAAGAGTACAAAATAAGTGAACTCCTTAAATGATATACCTCTGTACATAAAAATATGCATGTATTTGTACAAGTGTATGGAGCAGAGTTTATAGGTACAAAAACCCTAGCATCACAATAAATAGGATGTGTCCATACAATGCAGTGTAGCACTGTGTCTGGAAGTGGTCGCTCTGTTCCAGGAAGGTGTCTCTCTGTTTCTCCGAGCTCCACTCCTATTACCCACAGAAAGTGTTAGATTAAAAATGTCTCCATGTGAGTGTATACACATATTCTCCTTTATTTGTAGCTCTAAGAATAGAAGTGGGTATTGATAATAATCCAGTTGTTATCAAAATGTCTCTGTGACCTATCAATTCTATTGACTTCCCCATTCCATCTTTTCAAATACAGATGACTCTAAACTCTAGCACCATACAAGAAAGAAATACATGTGTTTATGTCAGAGAAACAAGATTTTATATCATCTTTGTTCCTCTGGCTATAACAATTCTGCTTAGAAAAATTTATCAAGCTAAAAATAGTTGATCTCATGTGTCATAAAAAAGAATATTAAATACCTTTGGTAAAAATAGAGATATTTAACATGATTAGAAAAGCCAACAGGTATAGTCAAGAGGAAAATATAAAAATGTACACAATGAAACACATACATCACCTCAGAGGGAAGGCCACTCCTCTGTGTGATTGTGCTTCCTCCAAACCATGACTGTACTTCTCTTCTTCCAAATGGCAGAGAAGTTACTAAGTGTGGAAAATCCAGTCTTTCCTATCAGCACATTTACCTCATAGCAGCATAGCTGCTATCTAAAAGCTGAGTTTCTAGAACATACACCATTTAGACTTGTATATGCAAACATAAGGGAAAAATCCAAGTCTTTCTACATTGTTCACAATCCAACTGTGCGTTTTCACCATTTTCTTGTGTTGACATCACTTGCCCATATCAAGACAACTAAATTATAGCATGCTGTATGCTGCCATTCTGAAGCTTGCTAGTGATCTACAAACACTTCATTTGATTTTGTGGTTGAAGACCTCTTCCATCCTTTGACCTTCCTCTGAAAAGCACTGCTGTGTAATTCCTGACTCCTCTTGGTGCCTCTTCTTTTGGAACACTTTTAAATCCTGCTGTGGAAGGCTGTTGAAGCAAACAACTTAGATTTTGGATGGAGACAATGAGTAAGATCTTTACCACAGTTGACCGAAGCATCTGATGGCCCTGAGGCAGATGCTGGTGGGGATGTGGGATGGAGTGGGGGATTCAGGATGCCAGTGGGAATGAGCACTGCTGTGGAGGATGCAGTTATCCTCCGGTGTTTCCTTTACACACACAGTCACATTCCTCATGGTGTTCCAGGGCCACATCAGTGAGAGACTTATGCAATCCCTTGACTCCAATTTTTGGTCTCAACTGGAGGACCTACAAGGGAATAAATATATCGCCTTTAAAATTCAGTTTTTCCATGTCTGGCATCAAGGATAAGCAACACTTCAAACAAAACAAAACAACAAAACAAAGCCTTGGGACCTAAGAAAGACTTACATGCTTTTAGTTGTGTATGCAGAGTCCTCCAACCTATCCCCTAAGTCATCCAATACTGTCATTTCATAAAAGAGAGGGTATGTTAACAGCAAAAGTTTCAAAGTACACTGCTTCCAGAATACAGAAGAGCTCTCAAATGGAAAGACTTACCATGTGCCTATGACTTCTAGATATAATTGTGCAGGAGACAATTATTTTGAAACCACTAATGAACAATTTGTTTTTCTGTTGTTTTATCATCTTATTCACACACTGTGCAAATGTTTGCACTTGATGCAGCACACTCAATCACCAATATAATGTGGAAAGAAACTTTATCATTCCACAGCTCAGCCTGCCCAATTATGCCCCTCATTAATTTTCTTGGCTACGCTTCAAATCCTCCATAAACTTGATGAGATAGATTAGACGCACTTCACAGACATCATCGTCAGCCACAGCTAAGTTTCTGTAGCTGGACCTTACTCGGCACGTCTAAGAAGACTCAGCGGTAACAGTGATGCCTCTGTTAAATGAGCTTACTCACAGTTTAGAGGGTTCTGCTTTCAAATAAAAATTATAGGCACCAAATTTAAAAATGTATCATTATAGTTCTGTGACAAAAGGATCTAGTTGTTGTGTATTTCATTAAAAGTATCTGAAGTATTGGACAGCCAATATTTCTCATAGCAGAAAATATAAATTCTAGGAACTCTATTACTTGGTTTATGAGCAAAGACCAGACAAGAACATAATAATATAAAAGTGTTCATTTTCTCTGATTTCCATGTATAACATAGAGAACTCCATGAAGTGACGATGGACATTTCCCATTCCTGCAAGTTGTCATTGATCCACAGAGACACAAGGCTTCTGTTTATCTGATGACTTACAAAGGAATTCTGGAGAAAGCACACATAACTTTTGGAGCACATGATTTGATCCAAGTTTAATTAGCTCACATTTTTTGAATACTTACTGTGTGCCAGGCACAATAGTAATGTGTTTACATACTTTAACTCACAATAATCTTATGAGGTAATCTACAATTATCACTTTTCTTTACACATGACTGAATATAGTTAGGCACACAGAGGGAAACAGTTGTTATTTACACCTAGACCATTTATTAAAAGTAGAACAATAAATAATAATTGAAAGAAGCCTGAATACCATTAATCATGAGCTTATTTAGCAACTTACTTTCTTGAAAGATAGACTTCAAAACCTTATAATAAATGTCAGAAATGCTGAGATTTGAAATCAGTTTTGTCAGTCTATTACAGTTAATAATTCTGGAGCAAAAGTTGGTATGTTTGTATATTGTAATTGTAGTAATGTCTAACTAGATAATTGGATATTATTTTATGTCACTAGTGACAGTGCTTTAAATTAGCTGAGATGCCATGAATTATAAAGTTGGAATGGTGTTATTCCTTATCATAGTTTTGTTTCATGTTTGTTTTCTATTTCTGAAATAAGTTTTTAGAGAAAATCATAGCATCAGTTAGCCAATGCCATCAATTCCCACCTCCACATATTCGCTACTCAGCAGGATAGAAACACAGTATAACAGGTGAAGTTCCTGTACAGGCTAGATGGTTGGCCCAAGTTGCACTTCTAGCTCCATCTCTCTAACTCTCCTGATGTGCTTCTTCTAAACATCTTCAAAAGGAGCAGAAGGCTTTTCCTCTAGTCACTTTAAAGAACAGGATAAGAAATTCTAGTAAAGGTAGGTATATTCAGGAATCAGAGGCAGGCCCATCTCTATGAGTTCAAGGCCAGCCTGGTCTACAGAATCAGTTCCAGTATAGCCAAGGTTACAAAAAGAAACCTTTCTTCAAAAAAACAAAACAAAACAAAAAAAAACAACCAATGAAACATTTGAAGGAGCGCTTGAGATGGGCCTTCATTGTATGGTACAGTGTGTGCCATGAATTTATGAAACTCTGGGTTCACTCCTATTTTGTTTTAATATGGAATATCACCTGCAGACTCCTGTAATGCCATGTAGTAGCTAGATGAAGCTATTTTAGGAAGTGACTGAAACTTTAAGTGGTGAGGCCTAACCAGGGAAGGCAGGTAACGTGGGTCACCTGTGTTCATTCTCTCTCAATTTGTCTCCATTTTATCCTGTCACCATCATGTGACATGAGTTATTAAATTTATGAAATTTTAAGTAAAGAGAAATCACTGGGTCAATGATGGGAATAGAAAAGCATGGAACATGTTCCTGCCATCAGAGTATCATATAGATTTTTTTAGTCACAGGTATCTGCCCTTACCCAGTGAAAGTTCACTCCCTCACTGATAATTCACCATAATAACAATAAAAAAACAGGCACAGAGCAAGAACATCCAGTGAGAAGATGGCTAATATAAGGGATGACTTGAAGTGTGTTGCATTTCATTCTAAGAGTTTTGTACGGATTAACTCACTAAATCTCCAATATAAAGTACATGGGTATGTGCAATGGCAAACAACTGAAAAGGAACGAGAGGCTATGGGATTAAATAACTTTCACAAAATCACACCACTAAGAAATGTTAGAGGCTAGCTGCGCATGACTGGCACTGAAGTTTGTATTTTTAAGTACTACACTATAATATGACTTTTACTTTCCATACATTTCAACTTGATAGAAGCAAGAAAACATATGCAATGTGTGCGTGTGTTTGTGTGTGTGTGTGTGTGTGTGTGTGTGTGTGTGTATGTATGTATACATGTTACAGTATCTACAGAGTTCAGATGACAACTGGTAGGAGTCAGTTCTCTCCTTCTGCTAGCTGAATGGAGCTTAGATTTTTAGTCTTGGTGGAAGTAGACTTTAAAGGTTAATTCATCTTGCTGTCCCATAAACAATGATTGCAGAATAGTAAGACTTCTCTCTAACACAGTCACTTTTAGAGTCCTGTTCATGAGGGGATGCAGTGCTGTGTCAGTGGATACGAGAACTCACTGCTCTTGCAGAGGATTTGGCTTTGGTCCCCAGTACCCACATGGTGGCTTAGAACTGTTCTTAACTCCAGTTCCAGGAGATCTGATATTCTCTCTGGCCTCTGTGGCATGGAACAAATATGTCAGTCATACTTACATACATGCACACAAAACAGGCACTATAAAATGTCCTGTACATATAAAGGACAACTTAATTATATATAATATCACTGATGGGTTACTAAAATATGTTTCAAGAAAGATGTAATGTGAAAGCTAATGGGCTTGTTAAGTTCCTGACTCTTTTCAGAAAAGCTTTACTTATGAAATAGAAAAAAACTGAAGGAATTATGTTTTCTTTCTAACATATTTTCTAAGGAAGGGTTCTGATGTCTGCTATAAAAAAAATTAAGTGTCATTTTTTTAATTTAACAGATTTATTTTATTTATTTGTGTGTTTGTGGGGGGGGTGGCTGAAGGTATCCCAGGGTTCAGATATATCCAATCTTCCTTGAATTTGTTTGATTTGCAGGTGGTTGTGATCTACCTCACCTTGTTTCTGGAAATAGTAGTTGGGTCATCTACAAGAATAGTATCTGCTCTTAACCATTGGACCCTATTTTCAGCTACAAGGATCTTTTTTGTTTTGTTTTGTTTTTCGAGACAGGGTTTCTAGGTGACTTTGGAGGCTGATCTGGAACTAGCTCTTGTAGACCAAGCTGATCTCGAACTCACAGAGATCTGCCTACCTCTGCCTTCCTAGTGCTGGGATTAAAGGCATGCGCCACCACTGCCCAGCTACAAGGATCTTATAACAATATTATATTTATCAATAACATGAAGGCAACAATTTTATTTATAATTTATTAAATTTATCATTCATTCTTTGAGAGACGCTCTCATTTTTTCCAAGCTGGACGTGAATTCACCTGGCTATGCAGCTGAGGCAGAAAGATTAGAAGTTCAAGTGTTATTTTTATTCCTGGACTCCAAGTTAAAGGAATATTATAAAGCCCAGCAATTGGCATAGATTTCCAGGAGCTCCAAAAACCATGTGTCACTAACCATCTACTTGAAACTGAAGCAGGTATTCTGATGCTGGCAAGGGGACATCTGGAAGCAGGTGGTGTGGACACACATGTAGAATAAATGGAATGGCTATAAGTATAGTACTACTCTAATTACTGGATACCAGTTTAGACAGGGCCTCCTAAAAGGAAGATAACTACCTTCAAATATGAAGCCTAAGAAAGGGCTGGGCTATTACCAGGTTTTATAGAGATTATGTATCTTGTTGGAAGATACAACAAGTTAATGGTAGATCTGAGTGGAAATAGGGTCGCTTTCCTTCTGCAGCCTCCTGATTTCTCCTAAACTTTCTCAACCATCCATGCAGTATTGCTGAAAAGCATGAAATTGTGCCAGATTTGATAATGTACATGAAAATTAATTCTTTGGGGCACAACTAATAATAATGATCAAATGAAGTCAAACAAAGTCAAATCAGAGGGTCAGACTTAATCAAGTGCAGTGTGAAACGCTATATAATAAAACCTGAACCACTAAAAAATATCATTTCTGGATGCACCCCCCCACACACACACACACACAAACACTGATAGAGAAAGTAGGATATACTCGGGGTATTCTAACATGAATGAGTCCAGATCTTTCTGTGTTGCCCAAGTTAGTCTTGACTTCTGGGCTCAAGTAGTCCTCCTTCACAGTCTCCAAGTAATTGAGGCTGCAGGTATATGGCACTAAGCCTGCCTCCACTCATGAAGATTTTGAATATGCTGGTTCACAAGGCTCTGCACTGTAATGATTACTAATATTTCAGATTATGTTTTCATGAAGTAAAATATGTGAACAAATTCATAAATTATGGAGCATGCTATTTGAGGCAAGTGTAACAATGAATATTCGCCTAACTATGAATATGTCCACACAGTGTTCATGTTCTGACACTGGACCACATAAAAAAAAATTATCAAATATCTCATCATTGCACAAACTTACACAGAGAATTGTTTCTAAGCTTGTCTTTAAACTATTCTCCTTTAATAGTTTGAAAAAAAATTATAGTTGAAAAGTCTCATTCTCTTTTTCCTCAGAAAAGATGTATGCTTGATATAAGAAATAAAAATCTTGTATGACTGGGGCTGGGATTGTGGTTCAGTAGTGGACCATACACAAACCTTGAGCTTAACCCAGTATCACAGAAAACAATAACAACAGAAAAAAGATCAAAAACAAAACAAAACAAAACAAAAAAAACACCAAAAACCAAAACTTCACTGGTCAGCTATGATCCAGGACTAGAGAACATAATTTCTAAATTTTCAACGTCTCTGTCTTAAAATTAAAAGCACTGATTTTAAAAGTGAAAATTGGAACACTCTGTAGACCGGGTGCTTACTTTTTTCAGTGATGGGAAGATGTCCTTCCTAAACACCAGTGTATTTTAGACTCAGTCTTTTGTTTTAAGAAACCAAAATATCCATAGAAACTGCAAAGAAAATGATGTACTTACCTCATGGTACTTTTTCGTAACTTTACGTGGGACACACTGACATTCATTGCAATTATGGAGGCAACAGGCACAATTCCCTCCACAACGCTTAACCAGGAGACAACCTGGCCAGAAAATGGTATCTGTCCTCTTTAGCTCTTCCCGTATGGACACTGAGAAGTTCCGAGGAGTACAGCTGTAGAGTCTTACCTCCTCTTTGAGAATGTTCAGATTCATCACTACAGGACATAAAGAAAAGCAAGGGGGAAATGATGCTTATGCTTTGAGCCCACTGCCATTTCTTTAAGCTCTTTTTATAAAAGAGATCTGGTTATTCCGTGAATGATAACCCTAACAATATCCCTTCTCATTTTAACTAGGTTGTATGGCTCTACAGCTCACAAACTGGACTTTCTGTTTCATAGTAAACAAAGCTTCATTATGGCTTAGTGGCCAATGAAGAGGTGGCATTGTGCAATATGAAGAAGAGAGACAACGACAAAGTTGAGAACTATAAATAGGAAACTTTATATAGAGAAAAGGCACTACACCTTTTAACCTTAGTAAAAAAGCAGACAAAGAGAGCATTTCAGGGAAGAATAGCATGTAGGAGTATGAATGCTTTGATTAAGAGGCCAATGTAATTTTAAAAAGGAGTACAGGCTCTTACAATTAGTGCAGGATAGCTTATTGAAATCCATCCACAAAACTTCTGCAATCTCGGTGGCTTTTGGGAACACAAAAATATAAAGAGAATGAAGAAAAATGTGTTTTTGAAGACAGAAGAATGAACAATAAGTGAAAGAAATGATACATGGGTCAGAGTAAGAACAGTTGTTGGAAAGCTGATCTTTAATGTATTAGGAATAAGTATTCTCTGAAATGCAGAACAATTGACTTCCTTCAGATTCCTATCATTCCCTTGGTGAAAGATGCAGGAGTGTCCAATTTGTAGCCACTGACTTCTATTTTTTCTAGGGAGTTGTTTAACTGCACTATCCTTTCACTAGATGCAGAGAAATTCTCCAAAGTACAACTGCTTTCATCTATATGAATAATGCCCCAGGAAAGCTATATTAAAACAATGTCATGTTTACTGTGAACTTATACATAAAATTAATTATAGAATACATATTCTAATTTCATGTTAGTTTCTATCTTATGGTTTTGCCTATTCTTTTTCTTAAAAATATTCCAATTTGTAATACAACTTAAATGTTTTGGACTCATCTATTTATTCAAAGTACTTTTTTGTTGTTTGGTAACTATCTAAAATATAATGTTATAGAAAAATATAAAGATTTGGCCTAAGTATCTCTGAACTAATACTGGAAAGATTATAAATTAGAAATATAAGTGTAATTTTTTAACTAAAGATGGTTTATAAATCATTATGAGACTCTAATTCTGAAAAAAAAATCACAGCTACAGTTTTTGTACATGCAATGGCACATGAGATTAAAGCACTGTTCCCTTGACTTTATAAAACTAATAAACTTTCCTGAGGGGGCTTTAAAAATTCTAAGGGATATATTAGATTATGAATATTTGTTACAATGCTCAACTGCAGGAGTGACCAAAAACTTCAGTCAAGTGTATGAATGCTCAAAGCAATGGTTAGAAGCATCTACTCATCTGAAAATGGATATTTTTAATTCAATAGGAAATCATAGTTTTTAGTATTTAAGAATTTCATCTGAAAATAAAACCATGAAAGCAAAGTTTAAAAAAAAAAAAAAACTGGAAGCAATTCAGTCAATTGCTTCAAACGCCCTGTGAAGACTAATGACCCATCACTAGTAAAACTAATGGGATCGCTATGTTAATGAGTCCTCTAATGCCACTGCATTCCACCTTGTTGAATGATTCATATATGGATACAATATTATTTAATTTTAAGTGATTTGAACTGGTTCTTTTCTCTGGAACGATATGATATCTGGACTGGGAGGGAAAAATTTTTTTAAAGTGCACAATGCAAAAGCTCACTGCCACAATTTGTATGGTCTATCTAAATCTTCCTCAAAATGTGAATGAAGCTCCCAGCTTTTAAAGACAGCTCACCTACCACACATGCTTTTAAACATACTATTTCACAGAGCTAGGAAAGGGACTGCATATGTTCTGCTTAAAATGTTTACTTAACCACAATAAAAGGCTAGGGTGGATTTCCCAAGTGTGCTCTTGTACCTGCTACAATGTGAAAATTTAAACACACTTTCAACTCTACTTCCACTCATTCATCATGCTTGACTCACAAGTCAAAAGGCCTCTTTGAAAGTACTGTTAAGCATGGCTTAGAAAATATCTTATTTAAGTTTTCTTTTCCCCCTGTAGCCACACAATATGAATGAAAACTCTGAGTTAGAGGAAGGGCTATAAAGAAAATAAGCCCAAAACACCCTTTTTCCATAAAGGATAATACTGACAAAAATATGGGCACATTTTACTTTGTTAGCTGTTCCTTCCTTTTCAGATATTCAATCCTAGGCTATCATATTACAGTAATGCAATCTGAGGGTGGTCTTTCTAAAACGAATATACCATTGTGATATGTTTATTCTGGGAAAAAAATCTATTTCAAGGTCTAATTAGACCCTTTTAAACATATTCTCCTGTTTCTTTGTAGAAAGGCTCCTTCAGGAAAGCTGATTTGTCTTGAGATCTTAGCCCACACTTGCATTTTAGTGTATAAAGTCTTAAATGTATACATGACTTTTCTTATGCTTACTGCATGCTTCAAAAGCTAATGTTTTCAACAAACTGCAAAGAGTTTGATAGGGAACAAGTTAGATGAATATGTGAAGGACCTGGATCAGCACCAGATTCTTTTCAGTACAAGCTAGCCTGTGGTCAAATCTATGAACAGCAGGCATGGGATCCAGGCTTAAAGGAATTGCTTAGAGGAAAATTGTTAGGCTGGAATACAGAATCACTTCTTCCCTGAAAACACCATGTACATTTAAAACCAATTTTTCACTCCTGATTATCAAAGATGCACCTCATAATGTAATTTGCATTGCTAAGAAAAGTACAATTCATGGGATGTCCAGCTAAGCTTGCAGATCTTCGGCTTCCCATTGCTAAGTGCAGGAAAGGGAAGTGCCTTTGTAATTTATTCATCATGGTTAGATCTGATAAATATGTGACAGCATTCAGCATGTGGACAGGATTCAGCTGCCCATGCCCTTGAACATAACCATGTTCAAACACTTTCCAAAGGAAACCATGCCTGTCAGCATAGTGAAATACCAGGGCTGGGCAGGTCCGAACGTGACCTGCTGAGATGAAAGCTCATGACCAGGAAAGCTGCAAGGGCGTGAAGGAAAAGCAGGAATCAAGTTTCTTCTTACAGGCTTTAGAAAAAGACTGATGCAATCTGCCACGGTGATCGGCTCAAATGAACTGAACACAGCTCCTTCCTCATAAATATTTTCCTGTCATCCCAGGCTCTGAAGGGATCCTGAGCGGATGCTTCTGACAGACTGCAGCAGTTCTCTGGGTGCAGTCTCCTTTTCTCATTACCTCTCTCCATTGTTGTTTGTGTCTGATCCAGCTCTTTCACAATTCCAGTGTTCCCATGAGAACAAGCTAACTTCTCTGGAAACTTTGTTAATATCACTACCCCCCTCCCTTGTTTTCTTCTTTTGCATGGGAGATTGAGTTTAATTATCTAAACTTTTGCTGTTAAAAGAAGATAAACCAATTTGGTCCAAAGTGAAGGTTTCAAAGGAAAATTTACAGAGAGAAAAATTTCCATTTGATGTTCCTCTGTAGGCTTTCTTGCTGTGAATCCTGCTTTGGGAGCTTCAATCTTATCAAATTGAACAATGACAATTTCCCCTAAGCTTTAGAACCTTCTAAGTTTACTAAATGTATGCATCTGTGGCCCATGGAATACATAGTAAATATAACTTCTATAAAACATCACTATTTCTTTTACTCTAAATCTGATTTTTTTCATATCTAATCTTCTATTGAATCTCTAAATGTAGAATAGCCTGTTAACAATGATTCTCATAAAACCGAATGGAGTGCTCCATCAAAAAGATGCTTGATGAGATAGGAAGAGACTAGGAATTTCAACAGAGTGTTTCCTGACTTTCCTCTTATATTCTCATTTAACACATTCAGATGCTTGGATGAGAACATGATGGGTTATTTAATCATATCACCAAAGGCATTTAAACTCTCCTTTTAGAAACTGTAGCAAATGACTGAAAACAAGAACCACTAAGAGAACTGAATGAATGAGGTTCTAATCTAAAGAGGAAGCTTACCTTTGTTTTTTTTCCCATAAAGAAACGCTTTGCCCACAACCTGCCATGGTGGCTTGTACAGGCTGTCCAAGTCCATCTGCCATCGATCAGGTTCTAAGTACCGAATCAGCTCTTCCAAGGTACTGAAGGCAGTCACAGCATTATTGAGCAGGTCTAGTGACAAAGCTGAAGGGGGCAACACTGAAGGACTTGTGGTTTCAGTGACTTGCTGAAAGTAAAATAAATCCCTCATTAGCTGTTTTAAAAGGTGATGACAAATTTCTTTTCCATGTGTACATCAACATACTCAGACCAATGCTGGAAGACCATGGGAAGTAAAACTACTTTCAACTCAAGTCAGGAGCAATAATTTTGAAGCAGGGTCTAATGATATATAACTGAAATGCCATAATATAGAAGAGGGTTGAAACAGAGGATTGCAAGTTTGACACAATCTAGGATTCATTTTAAGAGAAAGACCCGGGAAATAACTTGTCAATCTATATGACTATTAGAAAGCTTACATACCTGAATAGAGGAGAATTCTTTAGGGCATCATAAATGAAAAGCAGAAAACAAAGTTGACAATTTCAGGAAAGGTAGAGAAGTTTGAATATTTTTATCAGAAGTAGCATGGTTCACCTTTTTGTTCAATTTTTAATGCTAACTCAATGTAAGATGTGCTGTATTACAGTTAAAGTGAAAATCAGGCCAAATTCAGTGTGTGAACAAATGCAGGGTTTCCTACAACATAAATGATATCACTTGTCCAAATAAATGTGGGAAGATAATATCTAATAAATATCTAATAAGACATTTGTGCTATTTGATGTTGCTTTATAATAATATTTAAAATAATGAAAATGTGACAAACATGAGCTTATAATATTGGAATAATCTGTTTCTATTTAAACAACAGAATGATGGAAAGCCAATAAAAATGAGATCCTTCAAGAATTTGTAGTAACAAAATACAATAAAATTATCCTTAAACTATTCTCCATAAATGGTTACTTCAACATTCATCAATTAAAGCAAAATAAAACTTAATAATGACGTTAAGGAATGACAATGGGTAGCTTACATTGTTTTCTCATGTTTTCCTTATTTTCATTTTTTTCTGTTACAACCATGGATTTCTTTGGGAAATTCAATTAAAAACAGTAACACCTATTATAACAAAGCACCATCCTATCTGACCTTGTTTCTTATTGGCAGTACTTGTGTACATCAACTCTGAGCCCTGTTTCCTGGCCTTCCTTCACACTCCTTTTGCCCTATGTTGCTGAAATGTTGTGTAATTTGCCAAAAATAAGATCACTTACCATGTGATTTCTCCTCTGAAGGATAAAATCCAAATTCCTTACCCAATACCCAGGCCCCAGCATCAGCCCTTCAGACATGCTTACTTTGTTCCCTACAATCCTGTCTATTCCTAAGAATCACACATATTGCGGTCATCCCAGATTCTGCCCATGAGAAGGGCTGCTCACAGTCCCTGCACACCCATTTCTCCCTCCCATTAGTGCCCATAGATGCATAACAGCTTTTTAAGAGCCATGCAAACATCTGCAGCAGTCTGAACTTCCCTAACATTCTCCAACAATTGTGTTCAATTGAGAGTCTTTGTATGAGCACCTTATGGCCCTTTGTTTGAAAGGCAGAGCCTGTTCTAGACACTGGAAACAAGCTGCACTGTTCCATGGGTAGGAGTAGCTCTTCCAGGAACACCAGGCTTTTTGAGTTCTGATCCCTCTCACAACTCCCAGGAGATGATGTCACATGATATGACTATCACCAATGCAGTTGCCAGCATTGATTTGCCAATTACATTGTTAACCTTTTTTATTTGTATACTTGAACATTGTTGTACACACACACACACACACACACACACTTGTACACATGCATATAGAGGTAAGAGGTCAATGTTTAATATCTTTCTTCAGGTGTGTTTACCTTATTTGCACAGGGTCTCTCATTAGCCAGGAACACACTGATTAGGGGGGCCTCAAAAAATTGGATTGCTTCTGTTTCCCCATCCCTGGGATTATTATAGGACTTACCACAAAACTTGGGTTTTTCCAAGAGATCTGGATAAAATAACTCAGGTACTTATACATGTAAAGCAAGTGTTTCAAAACTGAACTGTCACTACAGGCCCCACATATTGCTAATCTTTTGAGTGTGGAAATTCAATCTGATTTTTTTATATATACACTCTGTTTTCTAATTGCCCAGGTAACACAAAATTTCCTTGGTATTGAAAGCACATGATGACCAGCAACTATGTTATAGACAAAACCAATGACCTAGGAAAGGTTTTGTTTTTCATTTAACCACTTTGGTTTAGACTGATTAGATATCCAAAATAAAAGCTTAATGAAAAAATTCAAATTTTTAAGATACAAAACATTATATATTTACATGAAATGCAAATTAAAAGATTCTTCAGAAATTAATGGCATACATTTCATTATTATGAAAACTCAAAATTTTATAATCTGTGTATAAAAACAACATGAAAAGTCAATCAAAACGTATGTATTAAAACTGCCAGATGGAAGATATAATGTGAACAGTGATTTAAGCTATATAAACCTGACTGCCGCCGCCGGGCATTGGTGACCCATGCCTTTAATCCCAGCATTGGAGAGGCAAAGGCAGACAGATCTCTGTGAGTTCGAGGCCAGCCTGGTCTCCAGAGTAAGTGCCAGGATAGGATGGGCTCCAAAGCTACACAGAGAAACCCTGTCTCGAAACCAAAAAAAAAAAAAAACCCAAAAAACAACAAAACAAACAAACAAAAAAAAAACCCTGCCTGCCATACCAGTTTGTCAACTCTTTGCTGTTGCTGTTTCAGGTCTATTGGAATCTGAGTAGAGAAGGCACAATTGAAATCCATGTTACAGTACAGTCAATAATATCAATACAAAAGAAAATATCAAAATCAGGCCTGTAGTATTGGACCATCAAAATAGATGCATCTCGGGTTCAAGGAAGCCTACATGTCAAAGCCTCTCAAAAATGAAGAAAGTTGCAAGTAAAGCCTCTTGTTATTTAAGTTGACTGAATTGTCTGCAAAATGCCTCAGTTTTCAGAGGGTTAAATTCAAATGGAATAAATGAAAAGTACCTCTCCATAGATGATTCCCCAACAATAATTAAGCATGGGAAAACTAACAGTCCACTTTCTCTGGGTTCAGCAAACGGTCATTGGGAACAATAGAGGAAGGCCTGTGTTTTCTGAGTTACTTCTCCTGAGTTGCTTATGGGGGTTTCAGAATGGGTAGACAATGGAAAACAGAAGTTAGAAGAAAGAACCCTTCTAGTTTCTTTCCTAGATTTTCAGACTTTTTCTTCTATATTTAGCACAAGGATAATTCAAACAATATGTTTGATATTTAAAAGTATTGAAGGATCAGCAGGAGGGCTCTCAAATGGCTCTCAAGCTGGAAAAGCCACCTGCAGGACAGCCTAATGATATGAGTTTGATAACTGGATTTCACATACTGGAAAGAGAAAACTAACTCATGTGTTTCTGTATACACAACCTCCCAACAAATAAATGAATATTTTTAAAGATTTTAAGTATTCATGATTGAATTGTTAAATTTGAAAAAATATAGGACCCTTGAACTTGATTTTCTATACTCTGCTTTTTATTTCCTTATCTACATAAAGTTAGGCATCCATTGTAGGCCAGTGGATAGCCATATTCTGGAATGTCAACAAATAAATGAACACCTCCGTGGTCCACAGCATGGCTTTCAGGACAGGGATGTCACCAAACTTATTATAGTCTATCCATCAACTCATTTAGCAAACATTTGCAGGAAGCATACAGGGTGGGCACTGTGCATCAGAGGGTAGAAGGTTTAGGCTTTGTGAAACTCATGCATCCTAAGAGGAATATTCTGCAGTCTTCTCTCACCCGAAGACAGCCAACTGGACAATTTGCTACTGTGAATAATGTAAATGACCCAACAAATATCACACAAATCCTGGTAGGTGCAGATCACAAAAAGTGAATATGATAGAAATGAGTAGCTGCAAAACAAATGTATTTTCATTTTCATTATTGAAAGTATCTGGCACCCCATGAGGTCAGACAAAGTACTAGTCAAATGGAGTGAAGTAGCGTTCCTGGAGCCAGGCAGCAACCCTGCTATGAAAGTAAATCTCCTTACCAGCTTCTCAGTGAGACATTTGATAGTCAGTGTTTTAGTGCTCTGTGTTTATTGTGGCTACACTACGTGTTTTATGCACTTGCTATCATCTTTGCCTCTTTGTTAGAAAAAAAAGAGAAGCTGCCTCCCTGTTTGGAAAAGTACAGTCTGAACTGCTCATAAGTTCACAATAAGTAGTAACTGCTTTCTAAAAAAAACTAGCTTGTCATTTCATTCGGGTTTGCGTGGTGAGTGCTGTTTTAAAAAGCACAGTGTCTACAATGAGGTCTCTCTGGACAAATACACACAAATGTTTAACTTGAGTAGCATAGCAACTGCAAAATTATCATGTCAATTACGATTTACGGTACAGTGTTCTCAGTCAACAGCGTGTAACATATTTTAGGCTGATAAGGGTTACACTTCATTCATGCCTAACACAGTTAGGAAGGCATGTTGGGCTATATTATCATAGTTAAAAATAAAGCAACAAAATCCAAAAAGTTCAAAGTCAGGTATGTGTCTCTATTCCCTGCTTCTCAGAAGTCTGAGCCCAGGAGTTCAAGGCCAGCCCAAGGAAACATGGAGAAGCTTCATTGCTGAAAGAAAGGAAAAGGATTTAAAGAGTCAAGTCTGTGTGGCAGCCTTCGAAGAGGTGTCTCCAGCCTCATTTATATAATGTCGAGCTGATATATTGCACAGAGCTTTGATGTTAAAAGCTTAAGCTGCAGACAGGGCATGCAGACAAAACTGTCTGCCAGGAACAACTCGGTAAAGACACAAGAATGCCCTGGAACAATCCATTTCAACATGCTTCTTTTACTTTCCCCTTGCTCTTATCTAAATTCATCCAAAAACTTATCTGGGTTTTGTTTTTGAATTATTTTTAAGCCAGCAAAAAGCCAATGCTTGCATTCCAACGGAGGAACAGATGTTTAATACTGTGTGGGTGATGGAGATTATGTATTTAAGTGAAAAAGCCTAGGGAAGATAGCCAGCCATGCCACATCAATACTCCAGAGAGAGTGTCTTATAAAACAGAGCACTACAATTGAATTTAC